GGCACTGTGACCCTATTTCAGTGATATTTTTTCATTATCATTTAGAATAGCAAAACCCTATTTACTCACCATACCTGGTTTAATGATTCTGACTTACTTTCTTCAGAAAAAAATTTGAGAATGTGAAGCTCTCTACCTATATTTTTCCTTCTTTTATATGTGAATGCAATGATTCTTTATTCAATTCTGCCTGTTAAATCTTATTAGCTCTTTTTAGGGTTTTAGTTGCTTGTTTGCCATTTTCTGACTTTCCTTATTCTATTTCAGAACTGCATTTAAAATTTAAAAATCTAGGCCGGGCGCTGTGGCTCACGCCTGTAATCCTAGCTCTTGGGAGGCCGAGGCGGGCGGATTGCTCAAGGTCAGGAGTTCAAAACCAGCCTGAGCAAGAGCGAGACCCCGTCTCTACTATAAATAGAAAGAAATTAATTGGCCAACAGATATATATAAAAAATTAGCCGGGCATGGTGGCGCATGCCTGTAGTCCCAGCTACCCGGGAGGCTGAGGCAGAAGGATCGCTCGAGCCCAGGAGTTTGAGGTTGCTGTGAGCTAGGCTGACGCCACGGCACTCACTCTAGCCTGGGCAACAAAAGCGAGACTCTGTCTCAAAAAAAAAAAAAAAATTTAAAAATCTGTTCAAATTAGCCAAATAATTGCAACAACCATTTTTTGAGCAACTATTGTAAGCCAAGCACTTTACATATCAAGTGCTTTACATATCTCATTTAATTCTCAAAATCTTGCAAAGTAGGTATCTCATTTTATGAATAAATGAAACTGAACCTTAAAAAGATTACATAATGAGTCCAAAGTCACACAACTGGTAGATAAAAGAATTGGGACCTGAGTCTAGTTCTACAGAGCACAAAAACTCATGTCACATAACTTTCCCAAATTTTTTGCTGTTACAGACCCTCTACTGAATGTTTTACTAAGTACTTTCATTCATGCAACAAATAGGAGTGCCAACTACATGTCTTCAAAATTTCTGTACATGTACTTTTAATAGCCCCTTTCCCTTGCTGTTTCTCAACTGGAAAGTTGCATACTATGTGCTTTTTTTTCCCCTTTACTTCCTCTCATTAAATGTCAAATTTAATCATGTTATGATTATTATCAGGTAGTGGTTCAGCCACAGCTATTTCCTGCCCCAGTTCCTGTTCACTACCTAGAATGAAGTCCAGTATGAAGTTCTTTCCTAGTGCTCTAAAAGTACCTGTTCTAGGAAGCAATTAGTTGTTCCCATATGAAAACCTCTCTGTATTATGTATCATTTTAGCAATTTCTATGAGGCTAACAAGCTAGACTAAAAATGCAGTTTTCCTAAATGTCATAAATATTTATATTTTCAATTTAGTCATATGATTCAGGCCACCAAGTGATGTTCCACATTTATAAATTCAATGTGAGTATGTATGGCTCTGTGCCATCCTTAGAGGAAGATATAAGCCTGAGACTTTCTCAAATTTGCAGGGGCAGTCCCAATTTAATGCATTCTGTCCCAGTATCATGTCTCAAGCACGGGTTAAGAAAAGACAGTCAACATATATGCAAAAGGGAGTTTGCAATATTGACTCCATGTGGCTACAGACAAGGTAAAGGGGTTAAGAGATGGCAACAGTCACTTTGGGATTCTTCTTTTATAAACAATCCCCAAACGTATTTATTTATTTATTTATTTTTGAGACAGAGTCTCACTCTGTTGCCTGGGATAGAGTGCAATGGCATCATCATAGTTCACTGCAACCTCAAACTCTAAGGCTCAAGCAATTCTCCTGCCTCAGCCTCCCTAGTAACTGGGACTATAGGCATGCACCACCGTACCCTGCTAATTTTTTCTACTTTTAGTAGAGACAGGGTCTTGCTCTTGCTCAGGCTGGTCTCGAACTCCTGAGTCCAAGCCATCCTCCCACCTAGGCTTCTCAGAGTGCTAGGATTACAAGCGTGAGCCACAACACCTGACCTGTCTATACTTTGACTCCTCTTCCTATGAAAGCACAGGCTTTACAGTACTCTCTTACAGTTATAAATGTTGTATATAATAATTATCCCTTACCAAAATGCTTGGGACCAGAAGTGCTTTGGATTTAGGACTTTATCAGATTTTGCAATATTTTCATATACATAATGAGATATCTTGGGATGGAACCCAAGTCTAAACATGAAACTCATTTATGTTTCATTTATACCTTACACATATAGCCTGAAGGTAATTTTATATAATATTTTAAATAATTTTGTTCATGAAACCAAGTTTTGACTGAATTTGAATGCAACCTGTTACATGTGACAAGATGTCTTGTGGAGTCTTGTTGGCAATCAAAAGGTTTTGGATTTTGGAGTATTTCAGATTTCAAATTTTGGATTTTTGGATTAGGGATTGTCAACCTATATATTATATTGTATTGTCATCATGAGTTCAAATATCTATCTCTACCACTAAATGGATGCTTCTCAAAGAAAAGAAGGTTACTCATCCCTATATCCTCAGCAATATTCAACAGTGCCTATTATACAGTGATCTCAAAGTGTTACTAAATATGTACAATGCTGGATTCAGTTCATGGTTTTGCAGCATTATTTCCACTGATTAGTCTCCTTCTACAAAGTCTCTAAGAAGCCAATTTTACTGTGGTAGTAAAGCATAATGGCTTGAAACATAGGCTTTGGAATCAGATTACTTGGATGTGAATCCTACCTCCACCAACTCACCAGTGAAGAAATCTTGAACAAATGAGTAACGTAAATCTTGGTTAACTCATCTATAAAATAGGCAGGACAGTAATCACAGTACCTACCTCATAATATAGCAGTAGTTCAACTATTTTTTGACGCTTATTTTCTCTATATGCCACACTACATTTTCTTTGGATCAGTCTAGTTTTTTTCACTATAAATTCCTTGTAATTTGGCATTAAATGGATAAATCAAAAATGTTTGTTTAAAAATTATGTAGGTCACCTTGTTCATTTTTAGGGCCAATTGTCCAGTTTAGGTTTAAAAACAGTTTACTCTTGGAGGCTTGACTGTACAAGAATGCCTCCATTGTACACTATATTTGATTTGCTTAGAACATTTTCATGCTCTACCAGAAAATGCTGAAAATTGGAACACAGACATTCCCCACCTCACTAACGCCTAACTTAATAATGTCTGATGCACGCAGACAACTAACCTGTGTGGGAGGCAGGCTATTTCTGGAGCAAAAAACTTTCCTGGAACCACTTTGTTTCTGGTCCCAGACACGGCTCATTCTCCTCATACCTCCAGATTTCTTTCCTCTAGAATCTGGAGACTGAGCCACTACAACTGACAAGGCATACCTATTTCCATCTCTTAAAATTAGCAGGCTGTACACAAAATCCAAGTTAGGATTTCAAATGGTTATGCTATTTTATGGCTCTTTAGGTTAAGTGCATAGTTTCCAAATTCTCAGAATTCCCCTTCCAACATTAAAAATGTTATTTTAAGAAGTCCAGTTTGAAAGAAAACAAATTTTACAAAAACACTTAAAAACAAGTTCAAATACTAAGTCTATAACTAAAGTGTCACAGGAAATAGAAAGGAAAGAAACGTTTAAAAATATCTGGTGAAAGCTTACCAAAAACTCTAAGATCAAAGTATCACACAAAGTAATCTCAAAGTAAGGAGGATATACCACTAACAAAGACAGCAACTGTAAATTACAAAATATTTAATATATTCACCACCAATTTAAAAATTATTTGGCATAGAAAGTACATACTGAGATTAATAAATTGTTCCAGATTCCATACTTCCCTGGCTAGTATACGTTAATATAAAGCAGTTCCTTGTTTTTGCTAGGCTCAAAATAATAACGGCGACAGATCAGTGACAGAATGAACCCTAAAGTTATACAAGGACGTGTTAAGTTAGAAAGCCTTGACTCAAAAGAACAATACCAGAATGCTGGCTGTCAACATTAGGCAGATAAAAATAAGGAAAGGTTAATAAGCACGCCGGTGGACCATGGTATTGTTCCAGCTGGGAAAAATAGCCCTTAAGGCCCGTGCGTAGTATTTCAGCACCCAATCCGCAGTCAGCGTTGGGGGTCGGAAAACTAAACTGCCGCCTGCTCAGCGGGGGCAGGGAGGACAGCGACCCTTCTTCCCAGCCTGCGTCCGGCGCGCAGAGCCGCCGCCCCCTCCTCCAAAGCCCGCTCCTCCGGCCGCTAGCTGACCTCTCCCCGCCCGCCCGCGCGCGGCCACCCGACACCCCTGCACGCCCTTCCAGGACCCGACCCCCTCAGCACAGTGCCAAGGGAAGGAAGCAAAGAAGAGGGGTTTGGGGAGGGAGCACAAGGGCGGGCACGGCGGCACCAGTGAGGGCGGCGAAGCTGGGCTTCGGCCCGTCACCACCACGGCTTGGGGACAGCGTGGGCTTGGGAGGAGAAAAGCTGAGCCTCTGCCACCGGCCAGATGATGGGAGGGGGTCGCGGCTTACCCGGGCCCACAGGTACCGGAGACTGCTGGGGAAGTCACCGGCGGCGGAGGGCGACGCGTTAGCCCCGCAGCCCCCACATCCATCCCGCCGGCCGCTCTCCTCCCTCGTCTAGATCCATCCTCGAGATTCCGTCAGAACCTGACGACCTCCACACAGCCCACCCAAGCGCCGAGGTGATGCCGCTCTTACCGTGGGAGCGGGCGCCGCGCCCCTAGGAGGCGGCTGGGGTGGACGCCGCTGCTGCCGCTGGAGCCCGAGGAGCCACAACGAGGCTGCCGGCGGGCGCCCTGCCTGCGGAGCGTCGCCCCGCCCCCCTCCCGCAGGATTTTGCGCCGCAGCCTGCAGTCTCCGCGCGCGGGCGGGGAGGACCCGTGGGGGGGCGGGGCGCCCAGAGGGGGCGGGGCCTAGCTCTGGCTGGTCTGATTGGCATCTCTCGGCCCAATGGGACCACGGAAACTCCAGGCTGAGATTGGACTGACTTTCCTCTTAACCCGTAGCAGTAGAGAGGCGGGCCCAGTGGGTTTCTTTTTTTTTATTACCGCCTTTTTGTCGAACCCGAATTAAGGAAAGGTCGGTTGCTTTGCACTGGCGGACAAACGGTCCAATTACCGCGGGGAGAGGGGCCTCTGAACCCAGATTGGCGTCCTCTGTACCTTATAGGGTAGGCTCCGTGGCGGCGAGAACCAGCCCCGGATGTGGGCGCGGCACTGAGGTAGAACTGAGAGATCCTCTACCGCGGCCGTTCGGGGAGGCGGAACTGAATCTTTTTCTTAATTATCATGTGACGGGTTCTGGATTTAATGGGGGGAAAAGTGTGGAAAAGGACAAGGATCCAAACTGGCGAATTTCCCGATCTTCGCGTCCCTCTCCACTCTCCGGCCAGCGGCGCTGCCAGGTGAGTCCGGGGCTCGGCCTTGGCCCCTGCCGTGCCCCAGTGCTGGCCTCCCGGTGCCTCCGTGGGCTGTGCGGCCAGCCCCCAACCCCTCACACTCCCTGCCCCAAACGCGCACCCACCTGCTTGGCACCAGGGCTTCTGTCAGCATCGTGAAAGAACCGCGTTAAACTCCAAAATGTGTTGGGCCCACAGGCCAGAATGGTGGGAGTCCGGTTAGAGCGCCGCGAGCCGACCGCCAGTGTTGGAAGGCAAAGGACAAGGATAGTTTAGGAGGGTCCTGAAGTTCCAGGGACGCGTAGGCCCCCAGGTCAGCCAAGTTGTAAGCAGAAGGCTGTCCCTTTGAATGGCCAAGGTTGTTGCAGCACAAGCCTTTGAAAGCGACTCATTATGAATAATTATTTATGGGCTCGTTAAGCACAACTGTCTTGGGGATGAGGCGAGTTCACTTGGAAGAGTACTGGCAGTTCCGAGAGAAGGGAAGTAAGGGAAGATACTGAGACGCAGGTGATGTGGGCAGGGCTCTATATTTCCATATGGGGGCAACTCCTAATGTGTTAACAATGGATAAAGAATCATATGAACAAATACTTAACTATCTTCCTGGAACCAGAAATAACCACCTTAAATTGGAAACATTTTTGTTGAGCAAATTTTTGTTTTGGAGAACTCATTTCTCCCATGAGGAGAAAGGAGAATAGTAGTAGGAAATAGATGCGACTGCTTAAATTGATGAAGATGTAAATGTAAAATTGGGGTCGTATGTCATCATTGTACCTCAGCATACAAACCTATATCCTTCAGTCATCATTTACATATCATCAGAGTGCTTCCCCATCGAGGGTATTTTCGTGCAAGTGCATACAGAACTTTGTTGCACATCACATTATAAAGCTTATAGCTGCAATAGGATTATGTTCTTTGCATCCTTTCACTTCCAGTCCTAAAGAACCTGTGGTGAGTGTAGACACCCTTCCTATGACCAGTTGCTACTCAGTTCTTTATGAGAAAATATGAAGCTTGTCTCATCTGATGACAGATGGAAAGGTTGTGTTTAAGCAACTGTATTATTGTAAACTTTTAAAAAGTTCACAAGAACAGCCAGATAGATTGGAGATCGGGATTGGGTAAACAATTTATAGGATGAAATTCAACTATAGTTACCTATCAGCAGGCATACCTCTTCCCTTCCTTCCAAATTCAGTTCCACATCCCACTATATGATAGCCTCTGGCAGGAAAAGAAGGCCAGCACAGAAAATGCCTTCCTGGGAGCAAAAGCACAGCAGTATGAAGCATCTGCCAGTTAAGTAAACAAGTGCAAGTAGATGGGTATAAGGGCAAAGAGGAGACCATACCTACCTATTGAAATAAAACAAATGTGTACTCATGCACCATGATAGCCACCCACTATTTATAGTACCGTGTATCCTGGAAAATAAGACCTACCCATAAAATAAGCCCTAGCAGGATTTCTAAGCATTTGCGCAATATAAGCCCTACCCGGAAAATAAGATCTAGTGATGGGCATGGCTATGCAGCCTTTCTGCACAACCCATGCATTTTGTTGCAGAGCTGTAAAGATAAGCAGCCCTTCTCAGCTGCCCCATCGTGACAGCTACTATCCCAGAAGTGACCGGAAAGGTGCGGGCAGCCCCACCAAGGCTGGCTCCCCGTCAGGCCCTGGCCATCCTGTGCGTGTTGCAAGCTGAGACTTTAAGAGGAAAGTCTCCTCAGTGAAGTGAGGAGCGGGATGCTCTGGTTTAGGTATTGTGTGTCCCCAGGAAGGAACAAGGAAAGCTGTGGCTGCCATTTTACTCATTTTACTTTTACTATCTTTGAATAAATGTAGATTGTTGTACCGTACTTAAAAAAATAACAGATCTCTGAAAATAAGCCCTAGGGAGTTTTCTTGAGGAAAAATAAATATAAGATCCTGTCTTATTTTCGGGGAAACATAGTAGTAGAGATGTTGCAGAGTACATCAAAGTTAGTACTAAAATATAATTGAGCACTCTAGTATAAGGTATTTGGTTCAGGTAGCCAGTTTACCTTTTCCTTGTTTCCTATCTTCCTGCATCTTTACTCCTAACTTTTCCCAGCCATGCTTTAGTTCCTATTCCTACCATCTTCAGATCTTTTTCTATCAAGTAGATCTCATCTTCAGGCTTTCATTCCCCAGTGGCTTATTTCCCCAAGCTAATAATCATTAGATTCCTCCTTTCCTGAAATTCTCTCAATTTTCATATGTTCTCTCCCTATCTTAGTTTCACATCTTATCTTTTATTTTCTTTTCTCCAAATATCTGAGGGAATAAAATGTTCTCAACTGTCTCCATTTCTTTACCTTCTGTTAACTCCTCACCCAACTGCATGCAGTCTGGCATTTGACTTCCCATTTTACTTACCCTTTTTCCAAATGGTCACAAAGGCTGGTATAAAAAACTTGATTAAGTGGAGAAACATAAACCTATATGTGAAGATTAAATATAATAAATGTTTATACCTAAGCTAAGTTATAAGTTAATGCATTCCCAATCAAAATTCCAAGTTTTAAGAATTAGCTTAGCAATTTTAGCATTGAAAAAATGAAGGGGCAAAATAGAAAATATTCTGGAAAAGATAACAGTGAATAAGTACTAATTGTTCCAGATATTAGGACATATTCTAGAGCAATGGCAAGTCATACAGTATTAGTGCAAAGCAGAAATATATAGATCGGTGAGATAGAATAGTGATATAAGAAATAGCCTCAATTATAGAATGTAGCATCTCATCATCACAAAAATTCAAAACTTACTAGGTGGTCCTGAATGCTAATTGGATAGCAAGTAGTTAAAAAAAAAAAAATCTACATACCACAACCAAAAACATACAGTGAGAATTATCAAAAGGAAAAAAAAAGAGAAAAATCTTAGACAAAAAAAATTGATATTTGTAAGAATTTTAATGAGAAAATAAGATTTAAGAATATAAGACCCATAGATTAAACTATGTGAAAACCCAGCATTATCAATGCCTTCTGGTAATATATCACTTAACCCAACAACTTCTTTACAATCTTAATTCTACTTGATGTCCTTTCAGTTTTTTTTAACCACTCCCTCCTTATAAAACTCTCCTCTCTTGGCTTGATACCACCACTTCTTTTTTCACTACTTTTTTGAATGATTTTTCTTTGTACCCCTTGAAATTGAATGGAAAAGTACAGATTTGTAAATGTATGGGGAAATTAAGAATATCCCTCAGGTACAGGAATAAAGTCTTGAGTGCCTAGACTTGAGTGATACCAAGTCTGTTGAAGAGGAACAGACTGCTCTTGAGATATTTTGAATAGAGCTTATACCCAGTGGATACACTAAAAATGTTATTGTACTTTGTCTTGGGCTAGAATGAATGATGGATATAATGTCAGTGACTGCTGTAAGTTATAGAGGTTTTGAAAGGAAGACTGGTAGAATGTTTTTAAAATAAGGAAGTCAGTGAGTGGGAAAGAGCCAGTTTTGTTTGCTAGGAATGGAAGTGATATTTTTTTTTCCTGGTATAAAAACAATCTTGACTTTTTTTCCTTCTCTTAGGGTGTATTTCCCTTTTTTCGACCCTGCAACAGCCTCTTTAAACTGTTTAAATGAGAATGTCCTTGGCTCAGAGAGTACTACTCACCTGGCTTTTCACATTACTCTTCTTGATCATGTTGGTGTTGAAACTGGATGAGAAGGCACCTTGGAACTGGTTCCTCATATTTATTCCAGTCTGGATATTTGACACTATCCTTCTTGTCATGCTGATTGTGAAAATGGCTGGGCGGTGTAAGTCTGGCTTTGACCCTCGACATGGATCACACCATATTAAAAAAAAAGCCTGGTACCTTATTGCAATGTTACTTAAATTAGCCTTCTGCCTTGCACTCTGTGCTAAGCTGGAACAGTTTACTACCATGAATCTGTCCTATGTCTTCATTCCTTTATGGGCCTTATTGGCTGGGGCTTTAACAGAACTTGGATATAATGTCTTCTTTGTGAGAGACTGACCTCTAAGTACATCATCTCATTTCTGTTGCTGTTCAACAAGCTATCATTAAAGTGTTCTGAATCTTTGCAAGCTTCAAGAATACCAGAGAACTGAGGGAAAATACCAAATGTAGTTTTATACTGGCTCTATAAAACAGGATTGGTGAATCATGGACTTCTAGTCAACCCAAAGCTTAATTATTCAATATTTGAGTTATTGAGATCCTTATTATCTCTATGTAAATAAAGTTTGTCTTCAACCTCATTTTTCTACATGACTCTTGAATAAAATGTTGTAAGTATGTGGTCAATATTTAAGTAAATACAAAAACTTTCATCTACATATTTGAATAGAAGTTTAATATGCCATCACTTTATTATGACCAAAGTAAATGCCATTTGTGCTTCTAAATTATGAAGGAAAAAATCCTAATTACTGAAATAATTAGGGGTACTACTTCATGTTTACATTCAGAAAGAATCTGAGTGTTTGACAGATTTTTATCTAGGCTAAGTTCACTGTTACCTCTACTTTCTGGTTGGGACCAATCATTTAGAGATAGTATGTTAAAATAGCAGAAACTTGCCTCTTCCTAAAGTTAAGGGGCTCTTACATCCTGTTTCTATCAGGTCAGGCCCAGTTTATGCCTGGTGTCCTGGGGTTCCAGGAAATCAGTGCCCCTTTCACTCTTAGAATGTATGGGGAAATTAAGAATATCCTTCAAGTGCAGGAATAAAGCCTAGACTTCAGTAATAGCATTGAATAGTAACAGACTGTTCTTGAGATATTTTGAATAGAGCTTATACCCAGTGGATATACTAAAAATTTTATTGTACTTTAAGGCTATAAGGAATGGATATAATGGTTTGAGAAATGGTCCTGATTTGAGAAATTATATGATCAACCTACCAAGGTACTTAGCCAATTGCAATGAAGCAAAGGTTGCAGTACTTATAAAAATTCCAAAGAGGGGCCAGGCCCAGCAGCTCATGCCTGTAATCCTACACTTCGGGAGGCCAGGGTGGGAGGATTGCTTGAGGCCAGGTGTTTGAGATCAGCCTAAGCAACATAGCCAGACCTGTCTCTACAAAAAATTTAAAAAATTACCAGGGTGTAGTGGCGCATGTCTGTAGTCCCAGCTACTCGGGAGGCTGAGGCAGGAGTGTTGTTTGAGCCCAGGAGTTTGAGGTTGCTGTGAGGTATGATCATGCCACTGCACTCTAACCTGGGTGATAGAGGTTGAAGGGTCTTATAACCCAGGATCTTATAAAGCAAGATGGTTGTTCTTGACATATACAATCCTCACTTTTAACTCTGGGAGAAATCTAAAGTTGTATTTTGTTCTGTTTTAGAAAGATCTTAAAGTGATTTCTAGCTACAAATATAGAAGGTTGCTTTAATATAGTATTTTGGTCTCGTTCTCCCATGTAAAGACAAATAACATAAGTTACACAACACAACAAAGTAATATAGCTTAACTCCTTGTTAGGCATTTCAAACTAAAGAGAGCCTGAGTAAATCTATCAATTGCAAATGTTTTCGTGTCTTATAATTGGTAATAGTATTTGGGATATGTAAAAAAAATAGAGAAAGAGATAGAGAAAGACAGTTAACATTGGGAACTGAATGTTCCAGCTTGATCAGATACTCCTAATTCAAATGAGAGATCCAAACTTTTGGTCTCTAGAATCTATCATTAAATTCAAAGTAGAAGAAAGCTTTCATCTCTATAAGAAACTATCCAAGATGATTTTGTAGTTCAGGAAAAACTATTCATGCATATATTATCAAAGTATAACCTCTCATGGGAAAAAGGAAAAGAAGGAACAGTACCATGTGCAAACAATCAGCTAGGCCGGGAGTCAGCAAAATTTTTCTGTAAAGAGCCATATAGTAAATATTTTAAGCTTTGCAGGCCTTATGGTTTCCGTTGCAACTACTCAACTCCGCCCTTGTGCAGAGAAAGCAGCCACAAATCATGGCTATGTTCTAATAAATGTTACGGAAATAAAATGTAAATTTCATATAATTTTCACACTACGAAATGTTCTTTTGATTTTTGTTTCAATCATAAAAGAAATTTCAATCATAAAAAAAATTATAAAGCCATAAAAATCATTCTTGACTCACAGGCCATATAAAAAAACCAAGTGGTGGGCTAGCTATAGCTTATGGGTGGTAGTTTTCTTACCCCTGAGCTAACCGTAAAACAAGCAAAAGCAGAAATTTTGTATGAGATTACTAAGAGGAAAGGTGGAACAGGTCTCTTCCTCCCCCAAACAGTTCTAACAACAAGGAAGGAAGATAGACATTGGGTAAGAATTATATGTAAAAGGCAACACAATAACCAACCTGTTTATACATGAGGATCAATCCATTTTAATAGCATTTGAAGGGTCCCCAGAAGAGAAAGTAGAACTCTTCTCTAATTTGGTATACTGCTACACTAAATAAACACTTGAAACAGCACAAAATTATCATTGATGTGTGCCTCAGTAGTTAGAATACATTAAAACATTAATAAAATACATTAAAGATAGAAATTATGCTTATAGGTAGAAAAAACAAAACATAGAATATTATATAAACAAATTAGTATTGCAGAAAAATACCTTCTTAGGTTTTAGTTATACGATTCTTCATCATACAGAGATGTTTTCTAATGGTGTTTAAGAATAAACACTCCTCAAGAAAGAAACTTAAACATCAAAGGCTCTTATTAAAACCATTATGTTCCAGGTCAGCACAGACATGTAACTTACTCTGTTTGGGGTAAAAGATTTGTAATCAAAAATTCTGAGTAAAAGCAACCTATGAACAAAATAACTTTCTATAAGACTTAAAAATATAAAAAGTAGGAAAGAGACATTCAAAGGACCACAACTTATTCAGCAACATTACATGAACACAGAGGCTGGTTATGGCAGCCTCAAGCCAGCCAAATATGAAACATGAACAAAAATCCACCAATGGGGAGTTTTCAATTATCAAGAAAAATATATGTACAAAGCTTCTAGAAGTAGAGATCTATCCTTGGGTTAGAGCTTACTGTAATTTTACCTCACAAATTTGAGCATCTGGATTCCACTATACTTTTTCACAGTGCAGCAAATAAGAGGAACTAATATTGACTAATAAGCAGGTGATAGCCAAAGGAGAGGATATCATAGAATCATTTTCACATAAGGGCAGTCATACAACTATGCACCTGAGTCATCAACAAAAGCAGTTATTTCTCTTTATTGAGAGGAAAATTATCAGAGTACTTTTAGCATTATGTTAAGAAACAAGTTACAAACTGCCAAAGGAGTTTCCTTTAATGTTGATTGGTCATGTTTGCACAGTAAACAATACTCTGACCTCAAAGTATTATTGGTGTCCTTATACTTAGTAACATAAATATTGAAGATACACAGGAGTTACAAAATGTTAGAATGGGGGTGGGCAGTGTGCGGGACACCTCTTTATTCTAATGATTAAGAAACTAAAACCCAGATAAATGAAATTAGCCCAGTGTCACTGATAAATGGAGTTTCACTCCAAATGCTATTTCTACAAATAGGTCTCCTACTGAAAAAATTTAAAAAAAATCAATGGAAGACACTAGTTTTCAAACACTAGATAAAGATAACTGCTGAGTTAAGTTTGTATGAAAGGGACCTAGCTTATACTTTTGATGCTTCACTCATTTTGCTTTGCCCTGTATTCAAATCAGCCAATCATACTGTATTACACTACAAGGCAATTGTCATCTATTTTTTCCTCCTATCAATATCATCTATATACTACAATCATAAATTTGTAATTCACTTATACCAGAAATACACAGAATGTGACAAGACGTGATTTTGAATTGCCAGCCCTGGGCAACATAGTGAACTAGGAAGTTTTTGATGTCTACCTACCTTGCCTTAACCTTATCCTTGAATTTTTTTCCTCTTTCCAGATGCCTATCCTTTATCCAAAATAAGACGAACATGTAGAAGAAATAATTAGTGAGGAAGGTATGAAATGATTAGGGTGAGACAGCACACAACTCTTCTAACTATTCTTTTGACTCTTTTAATTCCAGGAGCAGAAGCTGACACTCAGAGTGTCTATTACCAAAGAATCTAAGTAAGCATTTGACATGTTCTGTCATTTAATTTTCACCACCAATTAACAGATTATTAACCTCTCATTTACAGATCACAAATACAGACTAAGTGATTTTCTCAAGGTTATGCAAGTGTTATTATTCCCTTTTAATGAACCACAGCAATAATCCCTCAGTCTAATATCCTGTTGAAGTGGCTTTACAGGATTGTCTGTGAAAATGTACCACCTTTATGTCATTGCCCCACTCCTACAACAGAATGGATATAGAATAAATATTGCAGGTTATCATCTTGCTTCAATATTTTCAATTTTTGAATGTTTATAATATCAGCAGGGGGGAAAACCACAAAAGTTTAAAACACAATGCCTAATAACCAGATTTTAATAATTATAACTTAGAAATAGTGAAATTCAGCCTAAGACTCTTAGATATTAAGGAGCTGCTCATATATTTGCTATTTTAGGCATAGTTACCTTTAGTAACTATGATTTTCAGTGTATCTCCAGAAAAATTAGTTGAAATAAACATAAAAAATGTTTTATAGGTTTAATTGTTTATACAATATTCTCTCCAAATCCTCCAATGGGTCTGAAAATCTAATAGCTACCTTCTTAAACTTTATTCATAAGACTGCACAACAAAATAAAAAGTTGGTTTCTTTATAGTGCTAAATCTAATTTTCTACACTTTACTTTCTATTACAATCTTAAATTTACATTATAAATTAAAGTCATAGACTGACTTTTTAAATTATAGAAACCTAATTTGTTTTACCCACCCCTATGGTACAATTTTTGTTCCTTCAAGTATTTATTGAACGCCAATTCTATATATTAGGTGTTGAGGACAAAAAGTGATAAAGGAAATTCCTAACTTCTAGCTCATAGTTTAACTAGAGTCCAACATGTACTTTACTAATATGTATGTTAAATGGAATAAGCAAAGGGGTACAAGCAGCAGAGAGATTTGGTTCTACATCAGCTACTGGGTGAGGGAGAAAAGATCAGTAAAGGCAGTAATACAGAGTAATACAGAGTAATGTATTACAGAGTAATACATCAGTAATACACAGGAGATAATGTTTAAAAATAGTTTTTTCTTCTTTTTTTTTTTTTTAAAGAGACAGGCTCACTCTGTGTCATATCACCTAGGCTGAAATGCAGTGGTGAGAGATCATAGCTTACCGCAGCCTCAAACTCCTGAGATCAAGCGATCCTCCCACCTCAGCCTCCCCAATAGCTGGGACTACAGGTATGCACCACGCCTGGCTAATTTTTCAAATTATTTTTTGTAGAGACAGGGTCTCTCTATGTTGCTCAGGCTGGTCTTGAACTCCTGGCTTCAAGCAATCCTGCCTCAGCCTCCCAAAATGCTGGGATTACAGGAGTGAGCCTAAGAGGAGTTTTTGAAAAGAGAAATAAGATTTCATTATATTCCAGTTATTTATTTCCCCAGCAAAGTAAAGAATTTTGTAAGCACACAGAGGAAATAGTAAGTACTGCCATTTGGTAAAGCAGAAATTGGACACATCAAATAGAAGAGATTGTGGTACATGATGGCTGGAAATGAAGTGCTGTATACTAAGGCTTTTCGGTGCTATGATAAACATTTGGCCTTTATTCTGATGAAAGGAGGAGCTATAGAATACTTCTAGGCAGAAAGTAACAATGATTTCTGTCTTAGAAAGGTTAATCTGTTGGTAACATAAAGAATGGATTGGAATAATGAGGGGAAAGGCAAAGGAGAGCAGACAGGCTGGAAAATTTTAGGCTATTTTAAGAATTCAGGTGAGATGAACATCTACTACGACTGTGATGTGCCAATAGTAGTAAATGTTTATCTCACAAACATTTCTGGGGTCAGCTCAAAATCTCATGTTGGACACAGAGAAAAATAAAACATCAAATTACTATAAGATGACTATGTAGAAAGACAGTGATACCAATAACAAAATTAGTGAGGAAAGGAACAGCTAATGCTTGAGGGCAAAGAAGAGAAGAAATTAGATTTGACCATATGGATCCTTAGAACTTAAGTGAAAAACCAGGCTGACTGAACTCATGCGGTCATGAAGATGGGTCAGGGACAGAGTGTAGAGGCCTAAAGACCATGGAGACTGCTTTATATCGTGCTAGACAAGCAAAGAATCCTTCCATAGAAATTGAAAAACAACAAAAAGAGGTCATAAAGAGCTTTAAAGAGTAAATGACTGCTAAATGCTACAAGGGTTACACAGAAATACTAAGAAGTGCAGCCACTAGATTTGGCAGTGAAAGGCTGACATTTGAGAAAACCATTTCACAGCTGAGTGAGTAAATGTGAGGATTTAAATGGAGTTGTAGTAAGATGATTAGGAAGTGAAGGCAGAGAGGATCTCCAAAAAGAGATGAACAAGAGCATTTAAAAAAGCCAGACTCATTAAGAAAAGTTTTTTAAAGACAAAAGACTTGAGAAGTTTCACGTGAAAATCTGGCTCAGTTAAAAAACAAGTAAATACAATTTCAAGAAAAGAAGAAACTTTGTGTTGGGAGAGTGGGGAATCAACTTATCTGTCCAAATAAATTTTTCAACACTATATTAAACAAGGTATTTGTGACTATAATACTGACTTGCCTCTCAGTTTGCGCACTTAATAGTCTTAAACAGCACAAAAGCTGTGAACTTTATAGGAAAGCAGAGATATAACATTTTTAAAACATGCATAAATTCTAAATTTCAAAAATGTATATACAAGGATCCAGAGTTCTCATATTTTAACAGTGTAGTTTCTGGTTAGCAGATCATAGTAATGAAACAAGTAATAAATTTTACTTTTAATTTCTAGTTCAATTTTACTCATCCGTATTTTGTTCACACCTCATTCATATTCCGATTGGGTCTGAAGTCCAGAAAAGGCTGGAAGTGAAGATAACCTGAAATGAAAGATAAATTTTTTCCCCTACTTTTTCTGCTCTTCAAGTAGAGATATGATATACAACATCTATAAGCTTACAAGGGAAAGATACCTCTCTGCTTTTAGATTCTTGTGTGCTTGACATTCTAAACAGCAGTAACTTCCATCTGTAATATGCAGTGAGTTACAGAAAGAACTCAACAGAAAAGTCAGAAGGTAAAAGGACTTAACAGCTCTCCTGAGTTGTCCTCTTAATTATCTTATCTGAAGAGTACTGTCAGTGCCAAGCATATCAAACATAGTTATTTCATGAAATAGACAATGCATTCTAAAACCAGTAAAATCTTATTTACATATTAAAGTAGTGACATCTGGTAAAAAGCTATTCTAGCACTCTGAAGACCTATAATCCTTCATGTCACTTTTTAGCAACCTAAAAGTATTTTTAAAAGAATGGCACTTTTGTCCTCCTTTCCCGAGACAGAAATAGTCATGCCTACGGGGAAGAGGGAAAATATTTATCATGCCATTCCCAGCATCCATACCTAACTATAGTTTAGATAATCTTCAATATTCTCTGTTGACGTAAGTCAACTTTCAAATTTGTTTTAAGAGAAGAAAAAGATTTTCAGATTGGAATCATTTCAAGATTTTATGGTTTCTGTTGAAGACAGAAAAACAAGAACTTTTAAAGATAGCAAAATTAAAGTAAAATGTCAAATTGAAGAAAATAATTACAAAACAAAGATAAAAAGATTATGGTTATCATTTTAGTATTTATTGAAAGATGGAAGACAAGGAAAATACCTCTCAAACTGCAAAAACAAATCTTGCACCTTTGCTAAATGTAAGATGAATTTTGAGATATTTGCTATACAATGACAATGAACTTGTCCAAAAAATAAATGAATGCAAATTTACCAAAACAGTGCTAATTTATTATTTACAAAAATGTTCTTGCCTGCCATAGTATTTGAGAAAAAACTGTTTTACACTCAGGAACACTAATGAAATACCTTAAAGACTTAACCTAAAAAATAAAATCTTCCCCACCCTCCACAATGTAACGCCCCCCAAAAAGCTACAAAATGGATTAAAAATGAATACACCCGTGGAAACAAACATAATATTGCCAACAATCTTACACACAAAAACACACACATGACATGCACACACACACAGTGTTGTGCTAGATCAACCTAATCTTTCTTTAAGGTCAACAGCCTTGTTGACAAAGAAGATAATCTATATGGCTTCAGTAAAGTTTGCAACTAAATATCATAAATGCTTAATTCTTTCGCTAGTTAACCAGCTAACCTGAGTGTGGAATATATATTTCTTAGATAGCTAAAAGGGTATAAACAAAATTGAGGAGGGGAGAAGCACTGTAGCAGACACCACTGAGGTACCTTAGGTTTTGTGTAAAGGTCTATATATCCATTTAATAATTTTATAACAATTATTTATTCTATATAGTATATGACCATATAGAAAATACTTTAAGTGCTTTATTGTTCTGGTCCAAGAGACTGGAAATAAAAACAAAAAACTTGTACTCAGATAAAGAACTGGAATGTACTAACTAGAAAACCATTAATATAATGCAATATTAAAATAGAAAATTTTTGTGTGTAACAAAGGTAGTCAACAACTCAGAGTGCATCTGAAGAGGATTTTAAAATTATAACCCGTAAGACAAAGAACATAGACATTAATGAAGGCGATAACAAGGTTGTATCTTGAAATCTTGAGCCCAATGATTTAAACTACACCTCCACAGAGATGTATGCGTTTTATAAAACAATTAAATATTCAAATCATGGGTAAGTTTGACTAAGAGTTATATAGGAAACTATACCTAAAAGCAACCACTATGGTTGTTTTAGAAATGCCTTCCTTTAAGATAAAAAGTTTAAGGCTCATATATTTTGGAGGGATACCCTTAATGACATTTTCTTACAGTATACATCTATGTATATGCTACTAGAAATCTGGAAATAAAACACATCTTGTTAAATGTATCACCCATCAATTAAAAAAGAAAAACCAGAAAAACATTTTTACCACATTCCTCTTTCTTAATACAGTTTGTTAAGAACTTTTGTCTCCCAAAAACGTAGGTGCAAATCCGTAAATTTAGCTTAAAACATAAGATTAAATAGGTGAGAGCAGGATAAGATAGTGACATATAAAACAAAAACCCCTATTTACACTACCATGATTTATACTTTCCCTATCCCATAAAACTTCCTATGTTGCAAACATTGATTTCCTACAAACCATCAAGATTTCCTATGATATCTGCCTTCCCTTTTATTAAACTAGGGGTCAGAACTGCCATCATTACTGTAATAATTTTTATTTGTTCTGGTGAAATGGCTTTTCCCTAAGCAGAAACAAAAGCAGTTTTGATGGGTACCACAAATGGGGCCAGAACAGAAACAACTAAAATGGAAATAGTAACAGCAGCCCAAAGGCAGCATAAAGAACCACAGTTGAAAGTCATCAGCCAAAGTATGGGCCAAGAACATGCCAAAAACAAAATGAAATAGATTTGCAATAAGCAGAATTCCTTCTATCAACACATAAAGATTTTTGTTTGATTTTTAATTATAATAATGGAAGCAGCTGAAGTCCATCATTAAAGAGATTTGTTTTACTCATCTTTAGTTAGGCACTGGCAATCCTGTCTCCTACCACAATTTACTTTCAACAGCTTCTTTTGAAAAGGAAGTACTCCAAGTTATTTGCCTTGCTAGGGTAGGAAGAGGGATCCTGAGAAAGATGAGGTACCACATAGTGTTCTGTTAGTTATATCTGAATATGGCAGTGGAGTCACTGTCATTGCCCTTATTTTATGATTTTGTTATTTGCCATATTTTCTCCCATTCTGCAAGAAAAATGTAAAAGAGAATTTTAATTGGTCACGATAAAATTTTCTGTAACCAAAGACTTTTTACTCAGCCACTAGTAGTAAGTATAGTACAAATCCTTATTAGTAAGAAAATTTTCTGAATTTTTTATTCCATACACAAAGAAAATTTGTTAGGCCTATGTAATCTGGCCATGTAACTTCATGAGTTAGAAGTGTTAGATATTAACATACTGTTTAACCCAACTTTCTAAAACTGTTTCTATTACCTAAACTGCTTTCTTAATGTTGGACATAAATAATTTTAAATGTATTCCAGGGAGCAGGGCTAAGAAGTTTCACATATTCATCTTATTCGGCAATTTAAGAAAATTATGCAAAATATGATATACATATATACATTCCCATACATACACACATACATATCTAAGCTTTCTTAACTGAATCTTGGTTTTTAAAAATGCCTGCACAGTGTGGGGAATTTAAATATTTATGAGATTTGGATACATATATTTGCACTCCATTACCACTCTAAATGGATATACCAGCAGAGAGAATATATTAAACAAATGATTTAAATGAATTGTCAGTTTGTCTTTTCAGATCCAACAGAAAACATATTTATTATTATGAACCTTTATTAAGTGGTTCACATTTCAGTATAAATCACACTAAAAAGATTTTTTAAAAGCTATTTACACTACAGTGCTGACACGTTTAAAATGAAAAAAAATTGGTATAAATAAGCTCTATGGAAAAGCCTTAAATTGTCAAAAAAGAATTCTGGCTCATATTACAAAAAATATATATATATATATATGTTAATGTCAGCTCTATTCTAAAACCTATAATTCCAACTCAAATGATTTTTTAAAGACTCCTTTAAGTTCAAACCTGCAATGTTTACAGTGCATCTGGCCCTAAGTGCTTGATACTTCACAGTTATGGACAGGCACTGAGGAATGTTACAAAGCTACATAAACTATATTTTGTAACAGACTTGGGAGCAAGTCCTTGGCTTGCTTTCAGAATTCATGAATCTTTATTACATTATTAAATTTTTTTAAAAAAAGAATTTTAAATGTTATGTACAAATTTAGCACAAAATGTCATCATCTTTTCTATCTTGATTTGGATGTGCTGAACTATGTTGCCTTGAATCAACTAGACTTATGAGACTCCCAGGGCACAATTCTTCCCTTAAATCTTTGTTGCTATTTTCAAATTTAGAATCCATATGAATCTTAAATTCTGTAAATTGAACATGATCCAATTTTGTTTTCACATTCTTGCCATCCGTATTATTCGGTGCTCTAGTCTTTTCAGGAATATTAACATTCACAGGTTCTTCCTTGATTCTTACAGATGCAGTAGGTTCATATTTAATCTGCTGTAATTCATATTTAGAATGAAGTTTGTCTGAAAAAACAGAATCCAAGGAGGATTTTCTTACAGCACAAATCATGTTGTCAGTGTGAAGTCCAAGAACCGATGATGTGGAATCTAGTGATGTGCCTGTTTCATGAGTAGCTGTATTCTGGGAAGTGTCCTCCTCTGAGTGATATAATTTGAGCCTAACATGCCACGCTAAACTGCATACAGCTGAAACTGTCTTGAACTGATGGACAACATTCCTTGGAATAAAATAAATGTCATTATCATATAGCTGAATCCTGGCATAGCGAATGCCTTCTCTCCTCAGTTGATTAAGTTTTGCATCATCAACCCACTGGACACACTAAAAAAAAAAAGAAAGAAAAGGAATATAAATAAGCCTTCTCCATCATAAAAATCAAACCAAAGACAATAATGGTATAAATTATACCTGGGACAGTGGAGGTTCATGTAAATCTAACTGCATTCGTTGAACTACTTCTAAGAAATCCTCAGCATGAAAACAAATTACATCTTTGGTTATTCGGGGTTGATCAGGCCTAAAAAAGAAAATGAGATAATAAAGAATCTGCCATTATGTTTCACTCTGTTAAGTCCTTATTAAATTCAAAGCAAAAATAGTTTATATTTAATACCAAAGCACTGTCTTGTAAATAAAGTTAAATTGTAATTGGAAAACCATTTTACATATATAAACAAAGAGTTGACACCATGAGTTTCAACCAAAACACAGATCAAAAACTCATTTCATTTATTAAAGCTATTTGTCACAAGATTTTGAAAAATTAAAATGATTTAAATGAGCAAATTATGCAAACCAAGAAAATCATTTCTTTTTAAAGATAAGGTCTATATTTCATAAATGTAAGTGCTAAAGTTGAAAATATATCAAAATTAGAAGTAAATAGGGGAAAAGGGAATACTTTCCACAGAGATATATATAATGGCACTAATGCATAAAAACCATAAATAACTTAATAAATTAAGAGACATTCATTATACAAGCACTAATACACTGGTGTTCTCTGGGGGTATGTCTTTAACTATAATTCTAAAAAATTCTAAAATTCTTAATTAGGAATATATGAATACATTTTTACAAAGGTGCTCAAAAATGGATTTTGGAATGAAATTTCAAGCAACATAAATACAAAGAAAATCACACCAAGGCAAATCGTAACAAATTTCCAAAAACCAGTGATAAAAATCTGAAAATCATGTACTACATTATCTTAAGAAGGATAAGAATGACTGGAGATTTCTCATCAAAGACAACATAAGCCAGAAAATAATAGACTATATTTTTAAAGTACTGAAAGAAACAATCTAGAATTATATACCCACCAAAAATATCCTTCAAAAATGTGAAATAAAACATTTTCAGACAAACAAAACCAGAGAGAATCTGTCTCCAGAAGGCCAGCATAACAAAGAATGTCGTATGTTAAAGGAATTCCTTTAGGCTGAAGAAAAATGATACTTAGATGAAAAAACAGATCTATGCAAAGGAAGGCAGAGTATACATAATAGTAAATATGAAAGATATTTTATTCTCATTTTTTTAAATCTCTTTAGAAATAATTCCTTAAAGCAAAAGTAATAAAATACTGTGGGGTTATAGTATATGTAAAATGAAATATATGACAACAGCACAGAGGCTAGCTAGAAATGGCAAAGGGAGGGAGCAATAACTGGAAGTATACTGTTGAAAGGTTCTTACGCATTACATAAAAGGTAAAATACTATTTGAAAGTAGACTATGTTAAGTTTAGAGCAAAGAAATGAATGACACACATAGCTATAGCTAGTAAGCAAATAGTGCAGGTAAAATGAAATGCTAAAAATGACAAAAGGGGAAAAGGAATAAAGAATAGAAGAGGTAAATGGGGAAAAGATGGTAAATTTAAATCCAAATTTACTGTTTTATTAATATTAAATATAAATTGTCTAAATATGCCAATTAAAAGACAGATTGTCCCTGGGTTAAAAAAAAAAAAGGCAGCTGGGCGTGGCAGCTCATGCCTGTAATCCTAGCACTCTGGGAGGCTGAGGCAGGCGGATTGATCAAGGTCAGGAGTTCGAAACCAGCCTGAGCAAGAGCGAGACCCCGTCTCTACTATAAATAGAAAGAAATTAATTGGCCAACTAATATATGTAGAAAAAATTAGCCAGGCATGGTGGCGCATGCCTGTAGTCCCAGCTACTTGGGAGGCTGAGGTAGTAGGATTGCTAGAGCCCAGGAGTTTGAGGTTGCTGTGAGCTAGGCTGACGCCATGGTACTCACTCTAGCTTGGGCAACAAAGCAAAAAAAAAAAAAAAGGCAAGACTCAACTATATGCTACCTATATGGACCAATAATATAGACACACAGATAGGTTTTAAAAAAAGAATGGGAAAAGACACAACATGCAAATACCAATCATAAGAAAGCTAGAATAGCTATATTAACATGAGACAAAGTAAACTTCAGGACAAGCAACATTACCTAAGATAAAAAGGATATTTTATAATGATAAAGGGGTCAATTCATCAAGAAGAAGTAATTCTAAATGTGTGGTTGCCTAATAGCGGAGCTTCAAAATACACGGAACAACCTCCAAAATAGTATGCTAAGTGAAAGGAGCTAATCACAAAACACTGCATATTTTATAATTCCATTTATATGAAATGTTCAGAATAGACAAATATCTATAGACAGAAAGTATTAGTGGTTGCCTGGGGTTGTGGAGGATAGAGAATTGGGGGAGGGTAATAGCTAAAAGGTATAGAGTTTCTTTTTGAGATGATAAAAATGTTCTCTAATTGACCACAATTACAGATGGTTGCACAACTCTGAATATACTAAAATTATTAAATTGTACACTTTAAATACGTTATTATATCTCAATAAAGGTGTTACAAAAGACAAAATACATGGAACAAAACTAGAGAAACTGAAAGGAAAAATAGACAAAGCCAATGTTAAAGTTGGAGATTAACAAGTAGCCAAAAATCAATAAGGATATAGAAGACTTAAACCACATTATCAACAAAGTTGATTCACTTGGCATTTATAGAGCCCAAACAACAGCAAAATATACATTCTTTTAAGTGGACTAGAACATTCATCAAGACAGTCCATAAAACAAGCTCCAAGAAATTAAGGACTAAAACCATATAGAATATGTTCTCTGACCATAGGGAATTAAATTAGAAATCAAAAACACAAACACTCCAAAAAAAAAAAAAAAGCCTGCAAAAAACCCCTGAAATATTGGAAAATAAATAACGCTTCTTTAAAAAAAATGGATTAAATAAAATAAATCAAAATTAGAAATATCCTGAACTGAATAATGAAAATGTAATACCAAAATTTGTGAAATGTAGCTAAAGTATTACTTAGAAATTTCATTTTAAATACTTATATTACAGAAGAAAGGTCTCAAAGTAATCATCTAAGTTTGCAACTTAAGCTAGAAAAAAAGAGCAAATTCTTTTCTTAAAAATAAGAAAGAAAGCTTGGCACAGTGGCAGCACCTTTCATCCCACCTACTGAGGAGGTTGAGTCAGGACGATTGTTTGAGACTAGCCTGGGCAACAGACAGAGAAATGAGACACCATCTTAAAAAAAAAAAAACACAAGCAAAAACAATGAAAAGGAAAACAAAATACAACAGAAAAAAAAGTCAATGAAATAAACAACTGTCTGAAAAGATAAATAAAATTAATCAATAAACTCCAGCAAGACTTATTAATATAAACACAAAAATCATTAACAGTATTAGCAAATTGAATCCAGCACTATATATAATGTATTACATGTATAATCATTGTATTGTTAAATATTTTATAATGTATAATACCATCTATATCATACACACACACACAATCCTCCCTTGGTTATTCTGTATTATCACACATATCATATATATGAAAAACATATACATACCTCTCGTTTATTCTGCATTATGTCTATAATTATATACATATATATGATATGTATAATACAGAATAACTGGGGGGTATGTATGTGTATACATACATGTTCCTTGACTTACAATGGGTTATGTCCCCATAAACCCACTGTTAAGTTGAAAACATTGTAAATCAAACCACTGTTAAGTCAGGACCCTCTTATTACACACAATATATACACAATTATAGATGGTATGTATATATGTAGCATGTATCTCATATATACCATACATCATATACATACCACATATAATACAGAGAGATGCTGCTCGACTTATGAGGAGGTTACATCCTAACAAACTTACTGTTAAGTCAAAAATGCATAGTAAATTAAAATTATCCTAAGTCCTTCAACTTACAATGGGGTTATGGTTTCCAGGAAACGCGTACTGCTTTTGTATCATTGTAAAATTGAAAAATGCTAAGTGGAAACATCCCAAGTCTGATAACATCTGTATAATATATAACATAATCATAATATGTATCATAAGTATAATAATACAGAATAACCAAGAGATTTTTAATTCCAGGAGAAGTAATGGAATTATAGAATTACAGGGTATTAGGTTAAGTGTATTGTTTAATTTTTTAAGAAACTGTAAAACTTTTCTATAATTCCCATAACAGTGTATGAAAGTTCTGGTAAATCCATGTCCTTATTAGCTTTTGCTATTTTTTTCCCAGCTATTTTATAGTGGGTGTGTAGTGTTATCTCACTGCAGTTTTAGTTTGCATTTCCCTTATGATACAATCATATTGAATATCTTTTAATGTGCTTATGGGCCATGTGTATATATTCTTTTATAAAATGAATGTTCAAATCTTTTGCCCAGTTTTAAATGGGTTGTTTATTTCTTGTTTTTAAAGTGTAAGAGTTCTTTATATATATGGATATAAATCATATATATATGATTGGTCTATAACTTGCCTTTTCAATCTGTAGCTTACCTTTTTATTATCTAACAATATCATTTGAAGAGCAGTTTTAATTTTGATGATATCTAAGTTTATCAGTGTTTTCTTTTACAGTTTATGAAACCTTTGCCTAATGTAAAATTTTCTTCTGCATTTTCTTCTGAATGATAGGTGTATTTCTGGTTAAAGGGCAGTGTAATATTCCAATGACCTATACGTCTATCTTTATTCCAATGTCAACCTCTCTTTTTTTTTTTTTTTTGAGACAGAGTCTCGCTTTGTTGCCCAGGCTAGAGTGAGTGCCGTGGCGTCAGCCTAGCTCACAGCAACCTCAAACTCCTGGGCTCGAGCGATCCTTCTGCCTCAGCCTCCCTGGTAGCTGGGACTACAGGCATGTGCCACCATGCCCGGCTAATTTTTTTTATATATATATATCAGTTGGCCAATTGATTTCTTTCTATTTATAGTAGAGACGGGGTCTCGCTCTTGCTCAGGCTGGTTTTGAACTCCTGACCTTGAGCAATCCGCCCGCCTCGGCCTCCCAAGAGCTAGGATTACAGGCGTGAGCCACAGCGCCCGGCCTAACCTCTCTTAATTATTGTAGCATCATAGCAAGTTTTAAAATGATAATGTGAATCTTCCAACATTGTTCTTCACCCCCCACCCAAATTGTTTTGCCTATACTAGGTTTTTGGCATTTCTATATGAAAACCTAGTGAGATTTTGATTAGGATTGAGTTAATTTATAGATCATTTGGGAAAGAATTGATATTTATATATGTTGTCTTTAATTTTTCTTAACAATGCTTTATAGTTTTAAGTATAGAGGCTTTGTGTATTTTTTTAACTTATCTCTAAACATTTCATGTTTTTTTTATGCTATTGTGGCTTTAAATTTTATTTTCCAAATATTTATTGCTTTTATATAGAAATACAATTCACTTTTCTATATTAACCTTTTATCGTATAACTTTAATAAATTTGCTTATTAATTCTAATGCTTATTTTGTAGATTTAGAATGTTTTCTGTATACAATTATTTTGCCTTACCCTAATACTCTATAATTCCATTGCTATATATTTACTGAAAAGAAATGAAATCATATGTCCACACAAAGACTTGTAAGTAACGTTCATAACTTTATTCACAAAAACCCCAAATTGAAAACAACTCAAATGGATAAGCCAACTGTAATATATCCATATAATGATATACTACCCAAAAATCAAAAGGAAAGAACTACTAATAGATGTAACAACATAGATGAATTTCAAAAATTTAAGCTCAGAGAAAAAAGTTATGTCCATATATCATTCTGGCTTCATGAGATCCCAGGTTAGGCAAAACTAAACTATTAAAAACAGAAAATAGATTAATAGATGTCTGGAGCTGGGGAAAAAATAGGGGTGGTTAATTGTCAAGGGGTATAAGAGAAATGAAATGTTCTACAGTTTAACTGTGTTAGTAGTAGGTAACATGGCTGTAAATATTTGTTAAAACATATCAAACTGTACACTGAAAATTAGTGTTTTATTGAATGTAAATTATACTTTAATAAAGTTGATTTTTTAAAAAACTGGATTTCAAAGAAACAACCTCAGGTATATAAATCTGTATAAATTTTGTCATAATACTGCATAAAGAGTTACATAATTTAGTCAATAATTCACAAGATTTGTCCTATTTAGCTGGAGATTTCTTTGCAGTCTAAAACAATCCCAATCTTTTATTTCAAATTGATATTAAGCCTGACACTAAAATAAAGTCAATAATCAATTAAAAATACCCTAAAACCTTGTCTTCTTGAAAAAAAGAACAGACTGAAACACTAAGATAAGGAAAAAGAGAAAGGAGACAACTTCCTTTTGTGACATTAAAGCAAAATAAAAGGATCATAGTTCACATTTGCATCAGAGCCACAAAGCCCTTCAATAGGAAAAATTACTTTCTTGTCATCTTTAGTTATTAAGAGAGTAAAGCAGCACTGATATAGGAAGCAAACTGTATTTTGCAATAATGAGAAAAATCATAGCTAGCAATATCTCATTCCAAAATCTGTCTTAAGGCTATTCTTTTTTTGTTTTGTTTTGGAGACAAGAGTCTCACTCTGTCGCCTGGACTAGAGGGCAGTGGCGTCATTCTAGCTCACTGCAAGCTCAAACTCCTGGGGGCTCAAGCAATTCTCCTGCCATGGCCTACTGTGTAGCTGGGACTACTATAGGCAGGTGCCCCTATACTGGGCTAATTTTTCTACTTTTCGTAGAGGCGAGGTCTCGCTCTTGCTCATGCTGGTCTTAAACTCCTGGGCTCAAGGGATCCTCCCACCTCATCCTCCTAGAGTGCTAGGGTTATAGGCATGAACCACCATGCCCGGCCTGTCTTAAGCATATTCTTAAATCTAGTCATCTGATATATTAGAGTTTGGCAATAGTCCTTTTCACTGTGAAATTGCTCGCCACAAAAGTAGTTTCTTATTCAATGAATATTTATTGAGACCTATGGTAGGTCTGTGCAGGACAGAATATAATCTATAACCTTGAGTTGCATATAAAGTGGAAAAGAGAGCATATACCAACAATAATTTAAAGAAGTGTAAGATTTAAACACAAAGTGCTGATTCCTTTTGAAGCAGGAATATTTATCTCTGAAAGGAAGTATAACTATGTGGGCTGACTTTATTGAACACCATCTATAAATCAGATTTTACCCTAAGTAAATCTTCTTAATGCCACTCTTAAATCTTTTATACCAAGCATTTGAAAAAACCTCATTAATTTGAAATAGGAGTTTGGAATGATTACCAGAGATAAATTTGCCTTTACTCTTTGACAGAATTAACATTTTAAACTACATTATAGGAACAGCATAAAAATTGTATGAGAACAACCATGGATATTTGAAAATTACCATTTAACTTAAACACAACTCAATTATAAATTACTATTGAATTATAGACTTGTTTTCATAAGGAATTCTTAGGGTTGGTTACTTCAGTACTAGTTACACTGTATACCTGATAGTAATAAAACTTCATTTATTTTAAAAAGAAAAAGCCAATTTATACTTGCCTTCTCCCCCACTTAATATTAATTTATAAAATATTACTATAAGTTTCCTCTTTTTAACAAAAAGTCAATCCTGTATTAGCAGCCCTTGAAAATAACATTTCCTTATATAGAAAATACAGGTTTTGTTCATAAAATCTTAGAAAACTATACAATATTATTTTGTATATTCATAATTAAAAATGGTTTCTTTTTACTTAGGAAGAGTCTCTTGCTTATTTCGTATCTAATACAACTGCTAGGCAAAATAGCATATTCCAACTCAGGTTGCATACTCAAATGATAATTGACTTGGAAAAAAATCTAATTGAGCAAACTTAATTAATAAAGCTTTGCTATATAAGTTTTATCAATTTAATAAATGGAAAGTTACTTAATATATGGAAGTACATCTCATGTATTTTAAAGAGAATAATCCACTTTTTTGATTTACCAAAATATTCAAAGTGAAGCCTGTACGCAAAGCTGGAAAAAATGGATATGGAAAGGCAAACAAATACTTAATAAAGAGATACCAAACCTCAGAAAGGGGGCAACAGAGTAGAACAAGAGAAAGCATAAGAGTCTGAAGTCAAATCTGAAATCAGTCTCAGCTCTACCACTTGTTAACTATGTAACTGTAAACAAATTATTTGATTGCTCTGAGCCTTAGTTTCCTTATGGGATAAATATGGGCCAAAAAGTAGTTGAAAAAAATTAAATGAGACTCGTAAACAGGCACCAAGTGAGCCTTAGTTTTCCTTAATTTTTTTCACCTCTAGTCACTTAGAAAATGAAATTAATTCTTTCAGTCAACCCAAATGACTAAAACTACATTCTAGCAATTTAAGGTCTTATTTAGCACAATTATATAATTAGGATATCCAAATACAGAGGGGGAAAACAAAACTTTTTGAAAGGATAAATTACTAACTTTCCAAAGAAAAAGAATTTTTGAAGCCAAGAAAGCCTGTCTTTAAAATAGCAATAGTTATATATACCACTCTCCACAGTGTACAGCCTTCAGCACTCCAACAGCAGCTGTAGTCTGTCGTTCAAAACCTTGTCCTATATGATCCGCATGAGCTCTTGTCCTGTCTTCAAAGAGCATCTCACGGGGCTCACTGGTTCGAGGTAGGTACTGAAGGTTTTTTATTTCATTGGTAGTTCTGGGTTTTAAAAAAAATTACATTTATATGCCGAGGCTCACTTGCAAACCTTCAAATCACATAATTCAAACAAAAACTCTTAAATCTCCTGCCCTCAATCAATGTCTAGTTTTAAAATGAACAAGAACAAAAACACACATATAATTCCCTCATTTTTCTAATATGCCCTTCATAAAAGTGGCATTTGTAAGGAAATATATATTTGGATAAGAAACTAAATTACAAATAGTGTTGTTTACCCAGGTTTCCCTATATCCAACATCTCCGCCTGTGGTTTGGGTCTACAATCTGTGTGGAACTATGCCCCTACTCGTATCACTTAGCTAACAGAATACATATATATATATATATATATATATATTTCTGAAAGAAAGGTAACTTTTAAAAATGCATTAATTGAATATTCAATTCAAGATATGCCAGGTACTAATCTAGGCACTGGGGCTAATGAATGAAACACCAAGACAGATGAGATCCCTACTCTCATGGGAGTTATATTCTAGTAAGAGGACTCAATAAAAAAATTAATTAGCATGAAAACAACAGGCAATAAGTGCTTCCACAAAACATGCATGGTTTATTGGAGGTAGGAAGGAAAACCTTAGCTCTGTCTTAAACCACAGTCATCTCCCACCAGCTGTGTCCTCCACTGCTCACAGCTAGAATCCATGTGCATTCAGAAGCTGCTCCCTACTTAGCCTCACTCATTGCAGAAACCTCTCCAATTCTGCTGTAGAAGGGGGAAAGGGTGAGAAGAACTTCTTTGGCTGAGAGACATAATCTTACCTATTTTCCTCTATGTTTTTCTGTTGCTTCCAGAGACAACTTTGGATTGCCTCCATACTTGTATCACCTTATTCTAGTCTGTCTTCCTAAGGTCACTGTACTTTATTAGTTCTATATTTCCCATTCTTAATCCCTATTACTTATTTACTGCTCTTTGTGTACCCCCTGCATTATAGTCTTAAAACACACACACACGCAAAGCTGGAAAAATGGATTTAGCATAAATAATGCTAAAATAGGCGTTCTTGTTCTTTGTGATTAATATTCTACATGTTTAAGAAAGGTAGATGATGAGTTGGATTCCTGTGGAAAGCTAACAGGCTTTCAAACTCACAAATTTGGTCTCATTAATACCACATTCTGATAATTAAGACACATAGAGCACTAAGCACAGTTCCTGGCATAGTATTATTACCAGTTGGTCAGATGGTCAGACTAATGTGATATGAAAACATCACATATACCATGGGTTGTATACACTGAAGTGCATGAAAGGTCCTCAAGGGGCTTAAAATTATACCTAAAAGTTTGCATATACCTGCACTGTTCTGGAAAGAGACTTTCAGATTATGAAACTGACTCATAAATTCTAAAAGAAGTTAAGAATCACTGAGAAACAACAATTTTACTATTTACTTTAAGAACTATTGAGAAACATAGCAATTTTATCATTTCCTACCAAGTTACAAATTAACTTCAAAAATTTCATTCATCCAATAAATAATTAAACACTAAGCACTATGTTTAGGTGCTAAAGACACATTAGTAACAAGCCCAACATAGTCCCTGCTTTCATACAACCTACGGTTTACTCAATGACTTGTCCCTGTTTTTTTTTTTTTCTTTTTAAATTAATAATTACTGTAACCATGTTTTAAGTATCCAAAGAAAAACCTGTCATCACCCACAGCATCACATGCTCCATTCCCATCAATGTTAGTTAACCTAGTGTACGTTTTTCCACATATTTCTCTGTGTTCACACAAATATATATTTACAAAGGGATATTATCTTTTTTCATAAAAATAAAATCATATTACACACATTACATTTGGCTCTTTTCAATTGTCATGGAAGTTCATCCAGATCAAAAGACATTAAAAAACTCTATTGTAACTATTTCACCATGTTCTTTGAATAGGAATGTACAAAAACTATTCAACTATTCATTCCCCTGCTGATAAGCATTCAGACCATTTTAAACTCTTTTCTCACCACAAACAACGCTACAATTATTCTTATTTAACTTTAGGCTTTTATTTCTTGGGATTGATTACCATAAGTAGGGAGGTGCTAGATCAAAGAGTTGTAGGTTCTAGCACTATGGGAGGCCGGGGCGGGCGGATTGTTCGAGGTCAGGAGTTCAAAACCAGCCTGAGCAAGAGCGAGACCCCATCTCTACTATAAATAGAAAGAAATTAATTGGCCAACTAATATATAGAGAAAAAATTAGCCAGGCATGGTGGCGCATGCCTGTAGTCCCAGCTACTTGGGAGGCTGAGGCAGGAGGATTGCATGAGCCCAGGAGTTTGAGGTTGCTGTGAGCTAATGCCACAGCACTCACTCTAGCCTGGGCAACAAAGTGAGACTCTGTCTCAATCAATCAATCAATCAATCAATCAATCAATCAATTAAATTTAAAAAGAGTTGTAGGTTAAATTTTATGAGCTATTGCCAGATTACTTTCACAAAATGGTTACAGCAGCTCATCATTCTGTCAACAATATATAAAAGACTGTTTCTTCACATACCTACAGTCTATATTACTGCTCTATTAATAATTTTTGCCAATATAATGGATAAAAATATTAGTATCTTAGTTCTTTTAAAATACGCTTAACCACTTAAGGTCTATTTTCCCACTGGGTTGTTTACATTTTTCTTGTCAATTTGGGAATGCCCTTTGTACACTAACTTTAGTCTGTCACTTGTTACAAATGTTTTAGTACAGTCTGTCATAGTTTTGAAATTTGTTGTTGATATCTCTTCTCTCCCAAATAGTATTGCCACTACTTTCTTTCTTGTTTAGGAAGGTCTCTTCTAGGCTTAAAAATTTTATTCTAATATTTTGTTTTATCTGTTAGTTTAATTCTCTAATTTACTTCTTGTATTAGGTAGGGGCTCTGCCTATGCTTTGTTTCAGATGGACTGCCAATTATGCCAGAATTATTCATTAAATACATCTTCCTTTTCCCATCTACCTCATATGTTAAGTTTCTAATATATTCAGGTCTATTTCTGGACTCTATCCTATTCCAAATCATGATCTACTATTTGACCTTCACAGTAATTTTTAATGCCTTGTCACATAAGCTCTCTCCTTCACTTATCTTCTCTTTCACTGAAAAGTTTTCCTTCTTATAAAATGTTAAAATCATTGTATCCAGTGCTGGGAGTGTAAAATGCCAAAAATGCCAATTGAAATGCCAAAAAATTTAAAGAACAATCATTTTTATCCAATCCAGAAAACAGCAGAGCTTTCGATTTGTTTGCATCTTATTTTATATCCTCTATGTTTTAGTTTTCTTAATGCAAGTTCTGAATATTTCTTATTGATAATATTTCTGTGGGAATGACATTTTTCTATTCCTAATTATAATTTATTGTCATTTCCCTTCATTTCTCATGTCTTATTTATATTTGATGATTTATAACAAATCCTATTGGCATGTATAGCTTTTTCTTTTTGGAAACAGAGTCTTACTCTATTACCCAGGATGGAGCACAGTAGCCTGATTATAGCTCACTGCAGCCTTCAACTCCTGGGCTCAAGTGATCCTTCTGTCTCAGCCTCCCAAGTAGCTAGGACTACAGGTGTGTATTCCCACACCCGGCTAATTACCTTTATTTTTTGTAGAGGCAGGGTCTCACTATATTGCCCAGGCTGGTCTTGAACTCCTTCAAGCAATCCTTCCACCTCTGCCTCCTAAAGTGCAGGGATTACAGGCATGAGCCACTGTACCTAGCCATGGGTAACTATTTTTAAATTTACATTCTAATTATGCTCTGAACTATCCCTTCCTCCCTTCTCCAATTTTCAACACACACACACAACCTAACACACAAACATCCATCGCTGGCAATAAAAATGTGTATCCAACATACCTTTTCCTTTTGAAAGGTGACTTTGGCATATCAGCCACAGGGATCATTTGTTCTCCTGGACGTACCCACATGATGGGGCCATCATCACTATCTTTTCGACTCTCTAATTTTAGACTAGATAGTGTCCCCCATGGCAATGTACACTAGAGACAAACAATTACATAAGAACCAATTATTTTCCAAATGTATCTTCAAGTACATATTAAAGAATGTATACTTGACAACACATACTTTCATACATACCTTTATACTTAAGCATTTGAAATACATACTTATATTAAATATATCCCAATATATTCATACATTTTGCTTCAAAAAGTTCCACTTAAAACACACCAAGAGAATAATTATGTTTGGATGGCTCTGTCCCCTGACCCTGCCAGCAATGATTCACTGTATTCATCACTTGTTATTCTTCCTTCTATCAAACATGTGGGTCACATGATGTTAGTAAATTCACAAATTAAGCAGTTGCTCTCAATAAGAATCTATAAAAATAAATTTGAGCTTAAAAAATGGATACCTCTCTGATTACTGATAATCAAAAATATAAAAAAACAAGGAAAACCAAACCAAAATTGAAATTTATATGTTTAGTAGCTTCTTGAAGAGGTTGTTGGCCTAAACCAGAGATTAAAATATTATAAAAGAAAACAATAGAAAAGAAAAGAGAAAGAAAAATAAAGGAGAAAAAGAAGAGAAAAGAAAATAAGATGAGACTGAGGGCCACTGCCCATGGAATGGTGAGAATAGTATTAAAAAAAAAAAAAAAATTCATACCATACCCCGTTTTCAAAAAGGGAAGAATTCTCAAATCAAATTTCCTTAGAAAGAATGTGTTAAGCTCATTTGCTTTGAAAATAAAATTAAAGCACTACTTAAATACTATTCAGTAATTTTTTTTAAATGTTATGCAAATGCAACCAAATTCCATGATGTGACTAGTTGGGAAAAACAGAAAAGGAACAAAAAGTTTAAAAGGAATAAAAAGGAAAAGACAGGGCAATGGAACAGGGTGAAAGAGAAGGGGAAGAAACAGATATATACACAAATGAAGTAGAAAACTGAGCAAGCAGAAGTGAAAAGAGGAGGGGGTGCACTGGCTCACGCCTATAATCCTAGCACTCTGGGATGGTGAGGCGAGAGGAGGGCTTGTTTGTGATCAGGAGCTTGAGACCAGCCTGAGCAAGAACGGCACCCCATCTCTACAAAATATTTTTAAAAAATTAGCCAAGCATGATGGCATGCACCTGTAGTCTCAGCTATTCAGGAGGCAGAGGTAAGAGGATCACTTGAGTTCAGGAGTTGGAGGCTACAATGAACTATGATGATGCCACTGCACTCTGCCCAGGGCAACAGAGTGAGACTCTGTCAATCAATCAATCAATCAAATTTTAAAAATTAAAAAAATTCACAAAAGAAGAAGGGATATTCAACAGATTACATGGTATTAGAGATTAAACTGATCTTGTCACATTCTGCTGCTCACCTGGATCCTAAGTTTCAGTGTAGCTTAACACTGACCTTAGAATTAACTTAATTATACAACTCAGAAAGATTTCTCTCTCAGTGGGAATAGCCCCAGCAGCTCACAATAAGAAACATTTTCTGGAATGCAGAGGGTGTTAAAAAAATAAATAGAAGGAATCTGGCTAGAAATTATTTAAAGAATTTAAAGGGGCCTTAAGGTACACTGTCCAAACATTTTATTTTATGGATGATGAAACTGAAGCCCAGAAAGTTTAAACCACCAGCTTGCTAGGTATAGCAAAGGCTAAAATATGAATGCTAAATTTCTCAGGCCAGTTTTTCACAATGCCAAATTGCCATTCCTTGGTCTTAAACATTTTAATTTAGTAAACATCCTTCCTGTACTTCTTAAATCCTCTGGTACTCAGTTTATAAAGAGCTGATAAACAGAACCTAATTTCCTAAAGTGGCAGTAACAGGTGCTGTTTCTTTTCAGTCCACCACTTAGCTTCGCCACTATATAATAATTAGGACCTGAGAAGTCACATGTACACACCACACAAGAATTACTTCAGTTTCCCATCTCTTCCTTTCCTTACCTCCAATTCAAATAAAATCAAAATTTTTCTAATTTTGAAATGGCCATTTATTTGTATCGCCTGTGGCATGAAAGCAACACCCACAATTTAGATTGCATATATTGTTTTCTCTTACTTTTAAGAATGGTGAATTTTCCAACATGTCAAGGAACTCAGGAAAGTAATCTCCCACTTCTTCATCAACTGCTCCCACCAAGCTTATTTGTCGCATTGGGCCAGCTCTGTAAGTACCATGAGAATACGTTCTTTTTACCTGAAGAATACAGATTTTATTAAAAGTTACATATAAGATAATGCTTACCACTATGTAACAATAAATTATTATATTGTCTCAGAATGTTACATCATAATGAGGCAAGCAAAACAAAACAAAAAAGCCTTTACTAACAGTAATAAGGATTTATTTATTTATGGCTGCTTCTTAAACAGATTTCAAATATTATACTTTCTTTTTAAATTAAATCTTCATCACTCTGATAAGGAATTTAATAAAAAACCTTCACTAAATCAAGTTATTTTACCTTCTCTAACTATTCCTACACGCTGCTTATAAAAACACAGTTTTAAAAAAAAACACATAGTTCAGATAAACAGCATTAATTCTATCTAGACAACTGACTATAACATGACTATAACATCTCCTTCATTATCTGATTTATAATGCCACTGAAATTATATTCAAAAGTTGGTATACCAGCATTTTTCTAAAGCAATGGTTCATATCTTTTTATTGGAATTTTTAAAAGTAGACTCCTTTTAAAAAGTTAAATTTAACCATTATCATTGTATGTCTAAAAGGCCACCAGGGATGATCTTCCTTTCTAGATCTTACCATATTAACTAGGACCCAGTTTACATCTCTATTATTAACTCCAATGAAAAACTACTAGAAACTGAGAATCAGGAATCTTAAGACCCAAAATCTACTTTGCTATCTACCAGCTATATGACCTTCAGAAATCATTTACATTCCTTGAGCTTTGGTTTCCTTAACTGGAATATTTAACCTCAGATTGCTGAAGAAAACTTAATCCTATAAAGTCACCTGCCATAGTGCTAGCAAATGGGTAGCACTCAAATAGTCAAAATAGCCTACACCCCAAAATTCGTTGGTATCTGAATTTTCACAAACATTTAAATTCTGACAAAGAAACTTATGCATTTTCATTTACTAACACTAGTTCAATAAGTTGAATCTTATTTTAAGCAAAACAACTTCTTTAGATAAACAAACTAAACAAAATCCTAATTATCTCTTTCTCTGGATTAGCCTTTGTGGCCACTAAATTTAGGAGACCAACTTGTCCCAGCTTGTCCAAGACTATTCCAGTTTTAAAACTGAAGGTCTTGGCCGGGCGCAGTGGCTCACGCCTGTAATCCTAGCTCTCTGGGAGGCCGAGCCGGGCGGAGCGTTTGAGTTCAGGAGTTCGAAACCAACCTGAGCAAGAGCGAGACCCCGTCTCTACTATAAATAGAAAGAAATTAATTGGCCAACTAATATATACAGAAAAAAATTAGCCGGGCATGGTGGCACATGCCTGTAGTCCCAGCTACTCGGGAGGCTGAGGCAGTAGGATTGCTTGAGCCCAGGAGTTTGAGGTTGCTGTGAGCTAGGCTGATGCCATGGCACTCACTCTAGCCTGGGCAACAAAGCGAGACTCTGTCTCAAAAAAAAAAAAACAAAAAACTGAAGGTCTTGTATCTCAGGCAAATCTGGATGGTCAACTTTTCATAGACACAGATTCACATCAAAAGATATTCACATCAAAAGTTGAATCCTCACAATCATAGCTGGTATAATATCACCAAGTGAAAAGTATCTAAGCATCAACCCACATAATTCCATAATGGAATAATTTAAGACAGAATTGTATTGGTTATCATAATCAGCAAAGTGGTATAATAATGACACAATATTTCCCTAATAAGTTTATTTACCAGAATTCCAAGCTTAAGTTTCATAAACTGTCACAAATAAATTTCTCAGAACAATCATTACAAGTCTGTGCCCCTACCTTGTATTCATTGTCTCATCTTTTCTCTCTCTAAAAATTCCTATCACATCCCATACTGAGAGAGCTAAAAGTTAAAACCTGACTCTATAACAGACTTCGATTTCTAGATGCTTAATAGCACCACAATAAAAAAAAAATCAGTCAACAGTATGCATTTCTGTAATGCAGTCTAACAAAGCTAAGGGTATCAATTTGAACTCCAGAAATTTTACCAGAAAATATCATATCAATTCTGTTAAGTGACTCTAACATGAGTTTTAAGAGATCCCATAGCCATTAAAAAAGGAAATTAAACAACGTACACACAAAGTATCCAAGTGCTTTGAAATACGTTTGCTTTAAAAGTCAAATTAGGGAGGTACTATTTCCACTTATACAAGTAAGTTTTCTGTGCATCAATTTCCTCCTTATCTAAATCACATACCTAAATCACTAACTAGTTCTAACAAAGCCAGAATCAAATAAGTCCTTGCCACCAAGTTTGTTCATTCTACTGCATTGCAGTATCAATACTGATCAACTGGGCCGGGCGTGGTGGCTCACGCCTGTAATCCTAACACTCTAGGAGGCTGAGGCGGGCTGATTGCTCGAGGTCAGGAGTTCAAAACCAGCCTGAGCAAGAGCGAGACCCCGTCTCTACTATAAATAGAAAGAAATTAATTGGCCAACTATATTATATAGAAAAATTAGCCGGGCATGGTGGCGCATGGCTATAGTCCCAGCTACTCGGAGGCTGAGGCAGGAGGATGGCTTGAGCCCAGGAGTTTAAGGTTGCTGTGAGCTAGGCTGACGCCAGGGCACTCACCCTAGCCTGGGCAACAAAGCAAGACTCTGTCTCAAAAAAAAAAAAAAAAAAAAAATACTGATCAACTGATAATGTGGGCAGTTTATCACAGGAGGAAGAGGTAGGTGTTAGGAGAGAAATTTTCAGTAATTCTTCTAAAATACTAAGCACAACTTAATTTATGAGCTCTCCCAAAGAAATGGATACTTTAAATGTACTTTTAAAGCAAAAATCAAATGGACTGCTATCCACTGGACTTTTTTCCAAGGGAGTATGTGCAAGAGTTGCATATATGCATACAAAAGAAATACCAACAAATAAAGAATGCTCTTTAATGTGAAAGTTAAGAGAGATTTAGAAGTCAGAGACAATCCTGAGGAAATATAAGTCTGAAATTATAACAGTCAACTTATCTAATAGGAAAAATGAACTCATAATATACATAAAATAATTCATGTCTTAAATAATTGAAATAATTGCTCTAAATTCCAAAAGCCTACTTCCATTCTACAAAACAGAAAATACAAAAACTATAACTATAGAGACTAGGGGATAAGTAACAATTAACAATCAGAAAAACAGAACTATTTATTAATAAATTTAATATTCAGTCCTTGTAGAGTAAAATTTCTATATTTAAATGTGAATAAAAACATGTATCATTGAGCAACAGAATAAACAGGTAAAGTTTCTTGGGTGGTAATATTATAGATAAATAATACGTCATAACTTACTTTACTAACTTCAGCTTGACCAGATATTGCTATTTTAGGTTAAAATGATAATTTCTTTGATTGAAAGAGTATTACCTAGTTTTCATATTTCATTCAAATTACACATTTACATTAATTTCCAAGTTTACAAATGTTGCTCTTTATTTAAAAATAAAATGAAGCACATGTCAAAATTAGTACAGAACTAAACACTGAAAATTTTAACATGACAGACTGAATAAATCAGAATTTGATTTTCCTGCCATCCTCTTTCTAGTTTGGGGACTATCTAAGAAAAGGTTTTTTTGTTTTTTTTTTAGCCAGAGTCTCGCTTTGTTGTCCAGGCTAGAGTGAGTGCCGTGGCGTCAGCCTAGCTCACAGCAACCTCAACCTCCTGGGCTCAAGCGATCCTTCTGCCTCAGCCTCCCGAGTAGCTGGGACTACAGGCATGCGCCACCATGCCTGGCTAATTTTTTATATATATTAGTTGACCAATTAATTTCTTTCTATTTATAGTAGAGACGGGGTCTCGCTCTTGCTCAGGCTGGCTTTGAACTCCTGACCTTGAGCAATCCGCCCGCCTCAGCCTCCCAGAGAGCTAGGATTACAGGCGTGAGCCACCGCGCCCGGCCCTAAGAAAAGGTTTTATCTTCTGAACATTGTTTTTAAGTATGGTCCTAATAAAATTAAAAAATATCACAAATGATTTTTGGGAGAACCTGAATTTTTAAAGTAATCCATTAAGATTATACTCTTAAATATCCTAATTGAATCTTTATAGTTCTTCCCACCTCATAGCAAAATACATACAAATGTATACAGATTATATGTAAATTCACTTATACACATAACTAACTTACTAAAACAAAAGTACAGGTCTCTCGTCCCTTTTAACCAAAATGTATTAAAACTGTAAAGTAGATCCTATTTGCCCACTATTAAAACCAAAGGTAAATTATATTAGAAAATATTGTCTTTATAAGAACTCTGCATTCTTAGCTATCACGTTTAAAACAAAACAGTAATTTTCTTCTAAAACATTTATTCTACAAATAGTAAAGATAAAACTATAACCAAATTTAAATTTAAATCTCTAAAATTAAATTGAAGTCATCAACATTTTAATTTATAATAGTAATTTGAATTTTAAAATATATTATCATGTAACTTTTCATATCATTTAGTTTTCTAGTTATATAATTCAATATTTCAAGACCATACTAACTCAGTTATAACCATTAACTTATTATTTTAAACATGAAAAACTATACATAACAATGTATTCAAATACAAAAAGTATATAACTCCTGACGAAATATATAGATGGCACTTAAGCTGTTAAAACAAAATACAAGAATAACATTCACACACTCTTCACAAAAATGTAAATACTTCTTGATTTTTGGTGACACTATTATATTGCATTATATAGCAAATATCCACAATTAACCTTTTACATAGAATAAAATTAAATCTATAATATCATAAAAAATAAAGCCTCAATTCTGTAAAAATCACCTATGGAGACTATGAAGGAGTCAAGGGCAGTGGGGTAGAAGGAGGGAACAGGTAAGGATTGGAGGAATTTCTAAATAGCCAAATAAATGCCACAAAGACCAAATCATAAAAGGTCACCTTCTTACATATGTTCATTTTTAAAATCATAAAGGATAAGAAACCACAAATTTAGAAGGGAAAGGAAAGGCAAGGGGCAAACACAGCTGTAGCCACCTTATGGCAT